TGCGAAAAAATCTTTCCTGCAGTTGTTTTTTTTCTTTGTTTTTAATGAAGCTGAACTCTTTGCAGGTATCTGACCAATCCAGCTGACGATGACAAGTATGCCGAGTACCTCCAACAACAAGGACTTGTACCGGAATTATGACGTCACTATGCTTTCGATGAACTTACTCCCGCCATCACTCCTGCCCAAAGACAGATCCGAGCGATCGAGCACTGAGATCCAAAGCCATTGCTGCATTATCTCACAGAAATTGTTTGTTAAATGTTATGTATATGTTTATTTTATCTATTGAGGTATTTTATCTGTTGAGGTATAAATGCCATTTACAGTCAGCTATTGTTTACATTACTTTCCGAAAAACGATGTCACAACCAAATCTGGGGATTGAACAGAGAGCTTGAAGGCACAGCAGGAAATATCCTTGCTGTGGTAGGAGGAGGATGGCTGAAGTTTGGAATATACATACTCTAGGGATGAGGGTGCAGGGAGGTCAGACCAAGAAAATTGGACGTGTTCGGCTGAGGTGTACCCGCAAAAAAATGACACTTCTGGCTCATTCCAGCCTAATGAGGGCACCGAATAGCACATAGGTGTGGGGAGGGAGCATTTTGCGCTTTCGCTGTTCCTTATGTTAATTCATGACAACGAACAGGTTTTACTTCTGTGAGAGCTGTGAATCTTTACGCAGCTGCCGTTTTAGTTACAGGAATATGCTTGTGTTCACAAGCTGGTCTGTATAAACCTCGTTAAGTACCATTTGATGCCCCCACCAGGCCAAACTGCCAAAAAAAAACTTCCTTTTTGCGATTATGTCCCTTGACACGAAGAATAGTGCGACCACCCTCACAATGTTTCTAACATTCAAGGTGACTCGGACTACTTCTAGCGGTCATGCTTCGCCATCCAGCATTGCTAGCCTAACATGATAAGTAACTTTCGCAGGCCGCAATATCTCCCAGAAGGACAGAAACTTTTGAATTCCCTAGTCAATAAACCAGCTACACTCGCAGTTGACACCACGGTTCAAAGTAGGACTGTCGCCCCTTACATTTTTAAGCTACTTTCCGGCTTCCATCATTTTCTCGTAACCATTTACTATACATGACCCAGAGCTTCAGTTTTCTCTTAACTCACCATCAGTAGCCGTCATGTTTCTCCCATAGAATCACAACTGAAACCATATTTCCATTGATGCACCTCTTTTTGTACCTTTTTCCAAGATCAACTATCACATCTTACATACCAAAACGGTTCCACAGACAAGAAAAAAACACACCGTGGGAGTGGGTTTCACCCTAATCTTTAGTTTGAACTTGTGACTTGTTCATCGTTTCAGTAGCTAAGTGATCCCGGGAGTGCCTATGAAACAACCCGCGCCTCTAACTCCTCCCTCCCCAAGCACGAGCTGATTTATAAGTTGCAATCAGTCTGGGCGGTACCAGGACGGGCGGAATGAGCACGCTTCCGGCTACCTTGTTCAACCAATGACGATTAGTTGGAGAAGAAAACAACCAGAAGTGGCATCGCCGCGGGTGAGCACATCCCATCCTTCTTGAAACCACCCCGACTGATCGCAGATATCAGCTGTGATCCGATCCGCAATGGTACCACTTTCGTGGCTTACATTAGAAGCGACTAACGAGGCACTAAACCCGCTTCTCTCATAGTAACTCCACCCATCAGTTGGCGACCCCACTCAATGTCAGAGATAAACCGGCTTGCGGTTCACACGATGTGCGCGTATTGTCTCTCGCTCCCGTTCTCGTGCCTAATCGCCCGCCTCGCCTCACCGTGACAGCATGACGTGACTTTGAGTACACTTCCTAAGGTACACCAGGCCGGCCTGAGCTTTGACTGACAATTTACATTCTTCCAAATCTTCTTCCATGATTCTGTATGCTGTACACACTAACAACAAAACATTCATTTATTACTCCACCAAATCAAAATAAACTTTTATGAGGGTTTTACTTTTACAGAGATACTACAGAAAACACGCTGGTCCAGATACAAATAAATAAGGTGCAAAATGGAGCCATAGAAGAGGAATAACAATTGGATGATACATCAATGGCTCACATCCATCGACTCGATCACGTCAAACTTATATACTTTTCTCTTCAGAACTTTTGTAGAGCCAGGCTTGAACCTATACGGCAGATCTATTGGTTCGGGCATCTTACAGAAGTTCGGCACGATTGGTCCCTGAAACAGTAACCCTTTAGTACTATTGGAATAAGCGACAACTGCAGAATGAACGATAGTTCAGGCGCCTAGCTAATTTACCACCACACCACCAATTTAACAAAAAAAATCAAAGCCCCGGGCACCAAATAAAAAAAATTTGCCGTCTTGGGAGGAGATGACGTGGCAAGTGCCGCTCACCAGGCGCACGTGGGGAGGGGTCAAATCTCGGTTCGGCTCCTATCCTAGTCGACCATACATTTTTCGGGGTCAATTTTTGATGCCGGGTTGAGTGAGAGAACAGAATACAGACTCTCATGTCGCTTCATGGGCCAAATTGCGTTCGAGCTGCCATTACGATTCTGAATGGAAGTGGGATGCGCGGTCCATCCTGGAAAGGAATCCACCAACGTCAACAGCTCCACCTTTTTCTGTCCATAATAAATATCAAACGCCCATCAGCAACACAATGGTCAAAGGTAGGTTATTTATTTAGGTTATGAAGATCCAAGTACCAAATCAAATCAATCGAGCCCCCAGTCAAGGCTAAAAAACTGAATTTTATGGCGGCGAGAAGTAACTATTTAGAGCCATGAAGAAGTCTTCGTTCTTTACTAGTTGCCAGTGTCATTTCTTCTCACATTCCGGATCTGATGCGTACCACAAAACTTCAACTTAACCGAAATACTAAAAGATGGAGTCATTCGTTATGATTATGGAACCGCACCCTATAAGAAGAAGTGACCCAATCAAGCAGACGGACTTAACGTAATCAGTCCGAAATGGTAGATTAGTATTAAATAATATATATGATTTGTTGAGCGGGGATTAGCTCTAGTGAGCGGGTCCAACATACGGGTAAATGTATCAGTGCGCGTTCACACATCGCGATCCGAGCAATCGGAGTGCGAGGTATGAACGCTGAATGTATCAGCTGCTGGAAACTGATAGACTTGACTACTACAATTGGTCCTGAAGACTGTGCATATTTTTATAATGATTTATGAGCTAAATTAGTAGTCAGCACAAGGTACTGCACGAGAATCACATCAGAGAATCCCATTGGGGGGGGGGATAGTTCGCCACTGGGCAGCAGTGGACCACATTGACCAAGGTGGTCGTATCCAGCTGCTTTAAGAGAACTTTTTTCTGAGCCGCCATAGAACTTCTCCAGTGGACTTCACCTGACCTTTCAGGTCTATAGGCGCTACACATCTTCCTGTTGCCGCAAAAGCACTTCACAACTACAACTTCTGATAATTCGATGTAGCATTCGATGAGTGACTGTTTCCCCCCCCCCTCCCCCCACTCCTCCCCTCTCTTCGTTCCCTCTCGAAGCTAGTTCTCTCGTGAAAACCTAGTGAACGTTCTCGAAATGGGAAAAGCGATAACAAGCTGTGAGATTAGGAATCAGGAGGGTGACCGTACTGACACCGCCATTTCACACGTCACGATTTTGTACCGTATAACGACCTACGATTACTGTTGGTGGCTGGCTCTCCAATATCACTCTCGAAAAAGGCAAGAAGAAACCACATAGGTAGCATTGGTGACATCGTTGCCATCAGACAAATAAAAAAATTCTATTAGAACGATTCTGAACACCTACCCTGAATTCAGTTTTGCCTGGTCGCATGATGACAAGGTTCAAACTATTTCCGGAGGCGTTATCTCCGTGCATACCAGCTTGAAGGGCACGCTGTACCAGAGCAACACACTCTTCTTCCTTAAACAGAATGAATTGGACAGTTTTAAAAAAGGAACTTCAAAAGAGAAATATCCTCCAAAGAAGAAAGCAAGAGAAACTTTGAAATCTGACCGTCATATCTTGCTTGAAATCTCTCTCAAGAATCGAAATGGCAGCATAGCTTCCGGAGCCTTGGGCAGCAAATGGCTTAGCCATGGTGGTTCCATTTGCGGAGCACTCGTACAAATGTGGACCAGTAGGATCGACACCACCTAACACATATATTTAAGACAAAACTTACAAACTGAACCAGCTGACAAAGTGCGAACCTTGCATTTAGGTTACGAACATTTACAGGCGCTGCTGGGCCGAGAGGAGGGGCATTTTGTACTTTTGGTAGATTACTTTGTCAGTTCTTGTTACAAATTGTTGAAAAAACGTCTGTACTATCGTGAAGCTGCGTAGGCACAAGTGAGCACAGGTCTTCTTGCTGAGTATCATTCAGCGCCCCACCACTCCGAACTGCGTCCATTCAATTTAGTTCCTCAAAGACCTACCCCTGACCTACTCTTGTGGAGCCCATTAGTTTGGGACAGCATATACAAAAAATGCATAAACAAAAATAAAACAAACTACAGATTTACCTATGAGCAGATACGCTCCAACGTAGCCTTGGTAGTTGAACAAATGCTGTTTAGCATGGCGCAGAGCCGTTATGACTCGTGCTTTTCTGCCCGTGTTGAGCTCCATGAGCCGTAATGTCCCCGACAGCATTTTGCACACCTGAAAATCTCTTCAATATGGAGATCTTTCATATATAACATATCAAACATTTTAGAATTACCTGATCCAAGTCAGCTGCAGTTCCAGCTCCGCACGCGTAAATCGAGTCTGTCAAGTAGTGGACTTTTTCGCAGTGCTTGTCCGCAATAATGTTACCAGCCGTGGCACGAGAGTCGGCACCCATGACCAACCCTCCCTAAAATCATCTTCATTAGAAACATGTAAAACGAAGCTACTGAGCACTGACTTCATGAAAGCGCTAGGCAATGATATAGTTCGCGAATGTGAGTGAGAAAGCAAGATTCTCGAAAAATCGCAGTTTAAGCAATCTTGGGTTCGGGAGCATGCACAGAGGTATATGACTATTTAACCCTCTGTTCTAGTCTTCGAAGGTCCGACCAGATTTTGATCAAAATTTCGTTCAGAAGTGAAATTGGCTACAATTTTGTCCTATGAGGTAGTCCAAGCCTCTGAACACGAATATTACATCCGCTCGCATGAAACCGCACGACGCCCGCGCCAAAACCCCTGAACACAAAATATGTTTTGAACTTGTCTCAAGTAGAAGTGTTACCCTTGAACATAAATATCCCGTTGGCCTGGGGAATGATACGTACGCTCGGATCCTTTGCCAAAACTGAAATGGCGTTCTTGCTGGCGTTCTCGCTCCATTCGGAAGCGATATGCGCGATCAGGGAGTTGAAATATCCTTGACTGCAAAGTTTCGGGCTACCACTAGAGAGAAAATCCGATCAAAATGAGGCCTGATTGGAGTACCGAAGGGTCAGTAGTGCCAAGTATACCTATCTCTTTACAGAATTCAGATTGCACCATAATGGATACAGAGGTGGCTAGTCGGTAGGATAGGCAACAAAATATTAGATATGAGGTGACTGACTCCGCCAGCTAGCTTATCGCGGACAATGCGGGGTTTTGGAACCAACTGATTTCGATGAAATCTCTTTCCGCCGATCTTTCCAAATGAGGCATTGTTCACAGTCTGCGACCCTGACGAAACGGCGGTTGGGAGAAAAGCAAAAAATAGTCATCGATCGGAGAATCGCCAACCGCTAGTTTCGCCGAACCGCCGCGGTTCGGCGGTTGGGCGAAAAGCAATAGATGTGTATCGATTTCGCTGGCGAAAAACGCCACGGCGAGCTAGCGTTTCGTCGAAGGCGAAAAACGTCGCGGTTTGGCGAAACGCCCGTCGATTCGTATCAAAACCCTTTCGCCCAACCGCCAGTCGATACGTATCGAAAGCTTTTCGCCGAACCGCCGCGTTCCAGAGAAACGCTGGACCGCAGACTGTGAACAATGCCTGACGGGGCAACAATTTTAGCCACCAACAGATGCACATCAGAAGATTGTTCATCGTGTAGGTTTTTCTTGATACACGCAGAAATTCGGCATATTCTACCACCATAGGCGAGATGAGGGCCACTCGACCATTTAAGTTATGCGACACTTTCACCCTTCTTATCATCAAGCCAAACC